CTCTCTCTCTTGTGCGCACTCTTGGTCTCATTGCTTTGGCTACCTTAGGGCTGCGTTCCTCCTGTCCACGCTGTAGACAATTTTGAAATGTCCAACTCAAGGACAGCGGCCTCCTTGGCCTCCTACGGCCACCTACCAGTATTTCGCATGCCCTGCCCCTTGCGAAGCCCTCACGTCAAAAATTGCCCAGCCTCCCGAACTACCACTGAGGTTGAAAGTTGAATTCAAGTTGCAGGTCTCTAGGGCATAAAACGCAACCCTGACGGGCTGCGAACTTGGCTCCGTACTGCAGCAAATCTCGCATCGTGGCTGTCCGCCGTCCGACCGGCCCACGGCCTAGATTCGTCGCAAGATTGTTACAAATATCGATCGACTCTGGGCCATCATGCCCTACCGGGTCGACGGTCGGGGTCGGAACAAGATCCCGGCAATCGGCTTGGTACCACTGGGCCAACGGTCCCGATCCCTAGAGTGGGCAACGCAGTAGTACCAACGGTCCCGATACCTAGAGTGTTCCTCGCGTTGCACGTTTGTGCGGGCGCTGCCGTGTGCGCTCGTGCATTCGCGAATCGGCGTCCGTGTGCGGGTGTTCGTGCGTGTTGCTGTGCGTGCGAGTGTAGGTGTGTGTGTGCGTGTGGGGGGGGGGGTTGCCGTGCTTGCCACACACACACACACAGACACACACACACACAGAGAGAACGGTCCGCGGGGAAACATGAGCTGTGTGCTGCTCTAGATTGACGTTGGAAGCCGCCAAGAGTCGAGCCTTCTGTTTTTCGTCGAGCTCCGCACGAAAGAGGTAAGACGCGATCTTATCCTTCCTCCTCCTCCTCCTCCTTGTCCTCCCTCTTTTGCCCTCGACTCTTCATCTTTCGACATCCTGTCGCAATATCCGTCTGCACCTGCTTCACCCATCTCCCATCCCCATGTCGACCTAATCTCAGGCTTCTTCAGCTTCCGTCATTGCGAGGAGCTGTGAACAGCTCCGCTCAAAAGAGGTGAGCGGCGATCTTATTCTTTCTCCGTCTCCTCCTCGTCGTTCCTCTCTTTTTTGCCCTCGACTCTCTATCTTTCTACATCTCTACATCATGTACCAGTATCCTTGCGCACCGCACCTGCTTTACCCATTTCTCTTTCCCACGGCGACCTACGCTCAGGCTTCTTCAGCTCGTCCGTCATTGCGGTCTCCCTCGTCCCTCTGCTTGCGTGCCATTTCTTTTAATCTCTCTCAATAAC